GTAGACGAGTCAGATCAAAAGTATCGGAATATTCTGAAATCAACGGATGTTGAAAAAAATGATCTCCCAACAAATGTTGACACATGTTGATTGGAGACGGTTTAACCGACGTGTCCGTATCGTCAAGCCATTTGACGCATCTCGTACCGCTTCAGTGTTTCTGTATAACACGCGATACTCCTAGGAGTAAAAATCTCAAGTATAACTCAAACGATACATTGTTTTACATCCACACGCCCTGAAATAAACCAAAAGGTATATGCTTACCATTTCGTATGTCTACTTAAAGAGAACTCTGTTTTTGACGTATGAATACATAAAAAGATCGAGGATAATAAACACTACTCACAAAAGAACCATTTAGAACACCGCTTCCCAAGAAGCTATGGACAAAAGCCGGTAATAATCAAGTCTCGACGGTGGTTCTTATAACTTACGTTGCATCGTTTCTAAACTGATGATAGTTATGAGGGTGCACTTTTAAGAACGGTTTGTTATCCTCAGCAGGTTTTCTATCCCCTTCTGATGAACAGAGTTCACTTATTAACGCAAAACAATGTATCGTTTGAGTTATACTTGAGATTTTTACTCCTAGGAGTATCGCGTGTTATACAGAAACACTGAAGCGGTACGAGATGCGTCAAATGGCTTGACGATACGGACACGTCGGTTAAACCGTCTCCAATCAACATGTGTCAACATTTGTTGGGAGATCATTTTTTTCAACATCCGTTGATTTCAGAATATTCCGATACTTTTGATCTGACTCGTCTACTGCGGCGTGACTAAGGTTTGTGCGTTGAGGCTAAAGGACTACGGGTTTTGGCTACAGGAATGTGGGTTTTGGCTAAAGCATTTCGGGTTTTGGCAAAGGATTCATGGATCGAGGCTAAATGATTGCGGGTTTGGCCAAAGCTAGATGGGAAAAGGTGTAGTAGGTGAAGTGGTATTTCAATCGTGCGGTCAGGCACTCATGTAGTAGAGTAAGGGACAGTTTGAGCACTCAAAACTCTATTCAGTTTATTTCTGCGCTTTTGTCAAGCGCAATACGGGACACATTCAAAGAACCTAAATGGGCAATGTGTGCAAGGTAACTGTTCCTTTGGTAGCATTCATCCTACGCAAATAATAATGAAACTTTCATATTGATAACATGATGAACAGATTCAGTTTATTCTCTCCTCAAAAATAGATTATACACATAGAATTTTTCTTCAGTTATACAGAAATCAAAGTACCTTCATGTAATATGGACTTTATCATCGTTACATCTATGTTCCAGCGGACAAATTTATCCGAAGCAGGTTTTACCAAGGTCATTCAAATACAAAGAGATTATAGGCTTCTGTGACGTGACAAAATTCCCAGCAGCGAACTCATATACCCCACTCGACTATCGATGGAACAGCGCAATCAGGTACGTGTACACAAGAGTGGAAACACAGAAATAGGCACTCTGCATTACCCGGTCTGTCGTGTGCGATGTTTGTGTGATACTGTTTCGACCGAGTGGCTCACAAGACAGCGGACCAGCACGCCCAGTGTTCAGGGGGGTGAGTCGAGTACGTGGTGTAGTGCTATTGTTGTTGCTGGCTATGGCACTCGGGTTGGTCCGTCCATCTGGACGCAATGCTCTGTTAGACTTGGCTGTACGAACATCACTTCCAGCAACCAATGTGGAACGTTTTGGGGAACGATGGTCACGATCGAGTAGAGTACGCTGCCGAGGAGCCAATAGACAACCAATACTGCGACGCTGGAATAGGTTGGATCGAATCAAGGAAGATTGAGTGGCCAATTCATCACAACCCATAACACGTACACATTTGGCGGTGTACAATCGCAAAGTAGTTGTGGTTACAGGCCGGCGGTCAGCGATTGTGCTCACACAGAGAGCGGGTTCGGTTGGTTCCGAGTGTGTACTAGGAGAGCTCTGTGGTACACAGTAAGGTGGTCCATCAGCAGGAAAATGGAACACAAGTCCCGGGTCACTGTTCAGACTACAGCGAGGTGAACCACCGGTTAAGGAGACCGGAAACGGCGAGAATAGGGGGGATCGTGGGGAGTTCTCAAAGGCAAAAACCAAAACAAAACAGGGAGTGCGGCAAGAAAAAAAGGACTGCGGTCTTCTGAGAGTGTAGTGAGGCAATCGGTCCAGAAACGCAAAATAAACAAACACAAAACAGTAAACAATTATATATAACAATAAGTTTCATTTTGGACATTCCACCCCAACTTTGGACCATATTAGGAACAAAAGCTTTATTCTTGTCTTGTCTCGGTTACTATTTTTGCGACTTTATAAGCAGTTTACCTAAGCGGCACAACTGTACAATGTTCTAGCGATACTTTATAATAAGAGGTTTTCATAACTTCACATCATGAATACATACCATTGTGTATGAGCCCGTTAGAAATTCACGTACGTTTTCAAGGACAGAATATACCCGGCAATTAGCACCCATGTATACAATCGATCGACTCACGAAGTGAAGTGAACTTTATCGTAGATATCAGATTAACTCATAAAAATGAAGAACAAAACTTTACATTTGCGTTGGATTTGGCCGGATGATCTCCTGATCTCTTATTGATTGTACCGCAAAGTTCAAGTGAACTTTTATGAAGGTGACCAGAAAGATGAACAGAACAGAACAATCATGTAAAAGAAATGAAAAAATCGGCACAATTTATTATCACAGTATTAGTTTCTCTGCATTGCGCACGAGAGGTTTCCTCTCACTCTGCACACTCTAACGATTAAAAATATTGTTTTACTGTATAAGAATACAGAACTTATCATTAGTAGACTAAACTGAGCCTGGTAATGCACCAGAAAATTGGGAGTCTGTGATATTCGTCATCCACTGGCGAAGCTGAAATCCATGGTAAATCGACAATCAAACAATGTGTGAAATGGGGAATTCTGTATCTCCGTAAAATATGAAAGACAGATACACTCAACTTGTATCTCTTACATGACACAACGCTAAGTAAGGTGTGTGCTCTGACTGCAGTGGACTAACCACAGGATTAAGCGGTGGCGATCGAAAACTACACACACACACACACACACACACACACACACACATTCTAAAAGCTGTCAATCGGTCTGTTTGCACACTTGTCCATCTAACTCTGTGGAGCGAGACGGCGAATTCGTCATGACAGTTCTTCCATCACGTTCAGAACAATCCCAGGTACTTGAGACGGAAATCCGCCTCGAAACTTCTTTAGCGAGAACAGACTAACAGGAAAAAATACAACCCGTCAGTGCAGCCATACACACACACAATCGTAGAGGAACTCGATTCCACATGCGTGCATTGAGAAACTTAGCTGTGAAAAGGAACACAACCCACGAAATAGGATGTTTGGTAAAAAGTCCAAACAAAAACAAAAGACAATGTGGAGTAGAGGGAAAGGGCTAAAAATACAATATTGTTTGCATCCATCATGGAAAAGGAGGGAGAGAGAGAGAGAGGATGAGAAGAAAACGGACTTCCCGGGTGAACTGCATCACTATCCATTTGTCGTTTCAAAAAAACAGAGTTAGGTAACGAGCATTTGAAGCTTCGAATGCTGATGAACACCTTGGTTCATTTGTACATATTCATGCGCGTGGACCCGATTCCTATTGAGAACAGAACAGTATCTCACATAGTACCTAGACCTACTGGAACGCGGGGAGATAATTGGTTAATGAGATGCCGGATAGGTGCAGGGGCAAAGTAAAACAAAAAAGCTGGTTGAACTAAGTGACAGGTAAACAATAGATCTGCCTCATATTTATCTAATGCTTTCTGGGACACAACAGGTATTTGGTTGTTTTCGATGCAAGCCATCCGTGATGGGTTCATACACGGGCTGTGCAGGTGATTATAACAAACCAATCGCCAGCGACGTTTAACTCGTAACAGTGTAAGATGCTCAACTGATTCACCAAAAAGGCAACCAGAAGTGGAATGTACGTGGAATGCAATGGACCATGCTAATTGTCAATCAAGAGAGTTCTCTCGCTCTGTCGGTTTGTGTGTGTGTGTGTGTGGCGACAAAAGGAGAGAGAAAGGAAGGTTGCTGTATCTAGGTCAAAAAGTTCAAACAAAGCAGCTTAGTAGCAGTGTGCATAGCAGATTGTGATAAACTATTTGTGCGAGAAGGAAATTCGATGAGAGTAACATGCTTCTAAGGGAACAAACTGATGGGGATAGATCGGTGAAGGGACCTGTGGTGGGCATGACTGACGACCAAGAAACGAACCAACCGTGGCGAACCCACAATGAGAGGAAAGATAGATAAAATAAGACCCAAATTCAAAAGGGCGTCTGAGCACTGAGTGTGAAACGATATCATGTGAAAGCAGAAAAATGGATGCGTGTCTCGCATCATTAATTCTCATGGATGAGACGAAACATTCGGGTGTGACTTCCTGGTCATTGTGCATACAGAAGCAAGTTCGTCAGTCAACAAGATCGAACACACTATGAACCTTAATGATCGATTGCTCCAAGAACCACACGAAATTAACCGAAAACAGTACGATTCCTTCTGTACAAATATATTTCCAATTGCCATTGCGGTTCATAAAATGCGTGTATTATTTGATATAGCGAGTTCGCATCCGGACATCACAGTGTTTGGCTTGATTATTTGACCGAGTTTGAACTGCATCCAAGCATAGCCTAATCACGTTTGTGCAGCATAACCTCCACAAAAGAAGTATGTCACAACGAGTGGGAATAATAGGTGACAATAAGAACAGCGGGACACATGGCATACTTTGAGAAAAGAAAACATCAACCAAGAATAACCGTGTTTTTAGCGACTACAGATGAACGGTAATCGAGTAGGATGAGTCCTACTCCGGTAGGTTCGAATCCCAGAATCCCTTCCCTCTTTGCTTGTTATTGATTTTCCTTAGTCAGAATTTTATTCGACTCAGACAGGTTCCTAAATATAGATTTGTAATTTGTTATACAACAAACATATAGCAATGAAAATAACGATATCGATGTAGGTGGCAGTAAAAAGTACTATCACACCCGTTTAGTTCATGATGGAAATAACACTCATCTCCGGATGCCCAGAACATAAAAACGCATCGAATCCAGTTCGAAATCGATTCAGTAAATCTAGTGAACCTTCGAGACCGTTCTGTTCAGGGATGAGAAAATCCCGGTACAGAGGAAAACAAGTGTAGACTACCATCGTCCGCTTCAACTGTATGTCATTCAGCACAGTGCAAGGTGAGTAAAAAAAGAGAACATTTGTTTTCTTTGGCAGTGAACAGCAGATGAAGTTAATCCACATGAGTGTCGGGATATACTTTCGGCTATGGGAATTGTAAAATTTAATCCCGGGACGAAAAGCGCTAGACGGCGAATTATTACCTCCGTACCATAGGGGAGAAGTTGCGCTAAATACCAGCGAAATAGATTACAGCCAGAAGAGAATGGTTGCGATCTAACAGAATGTTGGAATTAAGGGAATGGTGCTGTATTCCAAGAAACCGGACCCGATGATTGTCACAGGACATTACTGAACAATTAGACCGTTGGTCAGAAAACGAGATACCCAATCCTCTTGGACAATTTATGCACAAATTTATCTAATCCCATAGAGCTATGCGCACTATTCCTGAAGTAGAGCGGAATGCAATCAGATGACCGGATTTTCGTGAGCGTTACTCCGTTGACCTTTACACACATTCGTGCATCTAACCCAGACATTCCAGTTGACTTTTGATCGGACATCACAGCAAACCAGGATCCACACATAGCATTTCGGTGCGGAACGAACGCGAAAGAGCTGCAAGTTATTTATCTGGTCATCGGTGTGTGGGTATTCAGGGCGTTCACCGTTCGGACACCGAAGACATAAGAAATGCATGATGTATGATTTGCAGGTTGATAAAGCAATAGGAAAAACCGATTTTCATCAAAATCTCCCTAACAGTAGTCGGTCTTCAATCATCAGCGGAATACTACTTCGCTGTCTGTCTTCGAGCCTCCTCGTTGTCCAAACGCGAATCAGCCTTTCTCGGTTCACAACACACCAAAATTCCAAGACGAATGTTGAACAATTTTGGTCTGGATTTGCGACAGCGATTACGGATTGTTTGAATGACAGACTATGATCTAGAGGTGCTTGTGGATTGGACGAAGACTGGAGGTTACACGCACGTGGATTACAATGGGACAATATTTGAGTGGAATGACGAAGTAAGGATTCAGGTATGCATAACTGATGGAAGCATACGAGTCTGAAGATTGCAAGGGTAGACGCAAATGGAATGAGTCTATCGAGACTGAAAAGAGCTGCGGATTGTTTGGTCGGATAGGGGAATGGTGGAATCACCGCTGGTTTGGTCGTCATGTATTCAGACCACACTCGTTCAACATTCGACCTGGTACAGGTTCTGAACAGGAGAGCCTTTGAAGGTTGTAAAGGAAAACACAAATGGAAAAGGTTTCTCGAGATTTGTTTGGTTGGATTAGTGAGATAACGAATGAGTTCGTCAAATCCTTCGGTGTTTTCTAGTGAACTTCATCTGCAACAGCATTGATATGTCCGTCTTGCTGGTGAAACTGAACTCAGCGGCGTTCATTAAAATCCAATCCTCCGATTGCATAAATTCTCCCTCGAGATTTTGAGCATGAGTCTAGGCCATTGGAGGAGCTTTGGTACTTATTTTGATAGTGGATTACGGTTCTCATTGTTTTATATAGGTTCTGTATTGCCTGACATTGGCAGTGGAATGGTTTGTATCGGGATTGCCTGGGTAGGTCACTTGTAGACAACTGTTTCGCTTGATGGTAGTTGTTACCGGTGCGCAGCTTGCTATCAGATAACTTGGTTGATTTGATTACTGCGTGCTATCGATTGATTTTGTTTGACTTTTTCTGTTCCTCTTGTCGTGCACCTTGTGGTGCTTTAGCATATCGGAACTTCTCACCATCAGTAAGACAGGATGAGGAGAATGTCATTGGAATCGAATGGAACATGGAATGCGTTTTTCGTCACACTGCAGAGATTCCAGGTCAAGTAGTGGTTGTAGGGTTTTCGGTTGTACTTCTGTAGTTGCTCAGTGATTTGTTCGCCGGTGCTTCCTCGCTTAGCTTCTCAATTAGCGATCTGTTTTTCAAACCATTGAAGTGAACCACCGTCCAAACTCGCCAGTGCGCATTCTGTTGCCTAGTTTCCTTAAAAGATTACTGCTCACTAGTCTCTGCTTTCACAAATCCCTTTTTAGACACACACACACGCACACACTCATATTAGCATCAATGTGCTTCGAATCCTAGCTTGGGATGTAGAATGCCCATAGGGGTGGTGGAAATGAATTATGTTGTCTTTGACAGCATGTGTCCTCCTGTTTGTATTATGTATTATTGATTCCAATCATTCCCACTAATCAATGTTGTTGTATGCGTACCCTTCAATACCCATTTGGTCTCGCATGGTTATGGTACTCATCTCGCATAACCATAGACCACCACAAAACAGGTTAGTGTGTGTGTATGTGTGAGCTTATTCAGGACATGGAGAAATGCTCAGTGATTATGATGCACAAAAACACGCGATTTCCGTATACCGCCGCTGCATCGCTGTCTCTCTCACCTGCAATTGATTCACGGCACCAACTTTAGTGTTTTGTTGCACCTCATCTCTGAAACCGGATACTGGCTACTGCTTCATTCATTGCACTACAACGCTCTGTGTGTGTGTCCACTCTACAAAACCGTGCTGTTCCGGTACCATACCTCTCCATGCTTTCCGCTACCACGTGTACCCACTATAACAACACGTATATATGTTTGTGTGCACGTATATCCGCACTTTTGTCAATATCATCTGCCGCTCCCTCTTTTTAAATCGTCATATATATGTGGTCTCAGCTATTGGTCATCCACGAATTCGGTCACCGCAACTGTGCATTGCTCATCGTGCTCAGTTGTTATTTGTTTTCACATTCCCCACTCTTCTTGTTCCCTCACATTTTGACTGGCACCGCATTCGAAATCTACTAAATCAAGTCTCATTGTGTGTACTATCATTCTTGTTTTTGTTGTTGTTGTTAAACAGCAGCTTCATCCCAACCACTGACCCTTTTGAATTAGGCGTTTTACCCCCTAGCCGCAAACACTCAGACCAAGTATGCACAGGGTGGGTACCCTCAGATTGAAGAATCTTTTTGAGTAAGGCCTTTTTTCAATGACGAGTCTTTACTTCATCCTGGAAATACTGGTACGCTCACATCGTATCCGGTCCAACGTATCCAGCTTTGATTTTTTCCTTTCAGAGGCTTTTCTCCCAGATAGTCACTCCTGTGTGTGTGGGGAGGGGTCTGTGATCAAACAGATCAGTTGGATCCCACCGTCACAGATTAAGCACCTCTTCCAAACCGTTTAGTTCCATCCAAGTGTCATTTATAAAATTTTCACTGTGTTTTATGGAATGATCTGTGTTAGTTTTATATAAAACTTAAATCAATCAAAGTGTATCATCTTTCTGAGCATGATACTATGTTTCAATATTACAACTAAACTCTTCAATGATATTATTGCCTTCCGATCCCAGAATAACCACGACTTAACTTTTCCCTCCTGTTCACACACCTTTCCGCTTGCACTTTCTTGCTGCCGCTTCGATTAATTTCATGGCAATAGAAACTGCATTATGATCACTTATTAGAGATATTTACAGACCTTCTGGTGGACTATAATGGTTGTTTTTCGAAAAAAAGAGCATATAAGAGTATTATGAAAGAGAAAAACCCATAGTTTGTGCAAATTTCTACTTATCTTCTTCGGTCAAATTTATTCTCCCTCCGTGCATTTCATGCGTTGAAGACTAAATGTGATTATTTCGTGGCTCGAATCTATACATAAGGTAAACTACGGATGTCTTTTTGTTTTGGTCGAATGAGGTTATGCTTGTGTAAGCGGAGGTTTGGTCATTCTGACACGTTCAACGGCCCCAGTCTTTGGTTTACTGCGCTACTCTCTTCAACCGGATCCAAATAACTGACCGATGTCTCTAATAAATATTCCCCAGTTTCGGGCACACATCATGAGCTACTTGTCTGATTGAAAGAAAAAACAATTACATAATTTATCGTGCGTTGTTTACTAGTTTTTCCGCGGACTTCAGTTCACACATTTGTCTCTCTTGCATACAGTGGATTAGTTCTCGCTCCACCATCCGACCGACTGCATGTTCTTAATGAAAGAGTTAGACGGGGAAGCGTGGAGACTACGACGGTTATGATGTTCACATAGATCAAAACACATCGCTTTTTACCTTTGTTAACGAGGCTTACTCACTTCGTAAATGTCGTGACACGATCCTTGTTTGGTATTCATTTCACTCCTAAATTGGCAATGCTATGAGTGAATTTTCACACCGCATCGGGGTGTTTAGTCATTCCAGCTTATTTGGCCTCCTCGATTTGGTGACGGAGTGTTCGGTGTCGTATCACGGTCCTGATTAATTAGCAACCCCACCCACATATTGTTTTTTTTATTAAACACAGCTCGTTTAGTTGAACCTTCGCTCGGTATATGACCTAGTCTGTGCTAACGAGGCGTTTGCAAACTAATCGGTGGGACGGCAAACAAACCACCACCACCATCGTGATCTGTGACCAGAGCCATACCGACATTTAGTCATCTCACTATCCGGTTGTTTTCATCACTGTTAAAACACAGTTTGCGACTGGGAACAAACTAAATTGAGTTGAAAACGATTAAATTTATTGGGTGCCAGCATAAATAACAATGCTTTGTGTCGTCCCCTTTCATCAATTTTCTGCCTGGGGACGTTTCGATGCTTCTGATGAGATCAACCACTATCGTTTCATTCATTTATGTTCAATTTAATATTTAACTAAATGTCAGACTCAGAAACCATACGGTTTCACCTTGCGAGCAACATCTGTTGAGCTTGTCGGTATCTCAGTCATATATATATATATAATGACCATAATAGGGGGCAGGTGGATTGGGATACAGAGCAAAGTGGAGAGAGGGTGAAACAGCTAAACACGTGGAAATGGTAGATAGCTGGGATAACAAATTTTTTTGTTTCACCGTATAGCGTACCGTCAGTCAATTCTGTCCTTTATTCGCCGGCTGTTCACAATGATTCGTTTCATAATGAATGTATTAGTATTAGAACCGAAAATTGCTATAAGTCTTCTTTATACAAAATCTGTGTCTTCTGAAAGGCCGTGAAAACGTTGTTTCATCGTCAGGAATCATCACTACTCTCTGGGATTCGAATTCGGTCACATGCCCACATAAGAAGCAGGCAGCACAACATGACATAGCACTTAAGAGCACTTGATGTCCATAAACAATGATCTGGTTAATTGGAAAATACGGCCGGAAATAAGGTTGATGAAAATGTGTTTCTCCTTCAATCCTATTCAGAATAAGAATATAGTCTGAACTTCGAAGGTTAGAAGAACAAAAACGAGAAATAGCGTTTATTCACTCGCAATTTCCGACTGTTGATTTTATGTGATGGCGGTGTCTGTGGCAGACATTTTCTGCACATAATTGATACTCTGAATGCATGGTTTAAAGCGTAAAGCTTTTGTGACACAGACTACCGAAAGATGTTGAAGCACTGTGTCTAAACTGTCAGTTGTCATTAATCCAAGCAGAACTCGGGAGTATGAGAGAGAGAGTGAACATCCGTATCGATGCGTCTTAAACTCGTTCATTTGTTTCACCACGCGATTCCTCTAGGTGACGAGCGTAAGCAGTGCGGAGTATTCTCCCATCAAACGCATCCTGTGACTGAGGCGAGACGTGATTTCAGTTTGAGTAGGGCAAGTTGTGTACACAGAGAAAGTCTGGTTCACGATTGCCCAAAAGCACGTCGAAATTGTATGCCCACACGCATAGTTGGACTTGTTTTGACAGCCATACTTGGGTTAGCAAAGTATTGAAAATTGGTTTTCGTGGCTCGCGTAAACTGAATTCCATTTCGCTTGTTCGCCCCGAGCTTGGCAATTTGCTTGCAAACGTTTCATCACCAGCCGTGGTGACATCATCAGTGTTTGTGAAGTGGCAGTGTTCCACTCGTACTCGTTCATGTGTGTTTTTCTCCACCGACTATTTTTGTCCCTTGATTTTGGGTTACTCACGGAGGGAAAATCTGTGTTCTTTCTTGAAAGAGAATCGACAAAATGCTTTGAGGTATGAAACTTAATACCACCGCTGCTTGTTGTGTTGAACAGATCGCAAGATTTGACTCGTTTATGAAAGTCTTCTAATCATGCACGGTCAAAGTGTCATTCACAAGTGAAAGTACTTGAGAGTGCTGCACAGCATCTTAGTCATTGCTAGGAATCGTCAGTGGTAAATTTGATAAAATCCAGTACTTTTAACAACAGAAGGGAATCAGTAGCCTCGTTATGTAATGTTGTTTTGTAACTAGTTGCCAGGATGATTGAAATGATTATTTCGTTCGATTTACAAGCCCTCTTTTCCGGTTTCGAATCCGAGTCGATTCAGTGAATATGAACTATTTCTTCTGAAAATACCTCGCTTTTTTCGATTGAGATGTTCATAATAGAGGATCCATAAGTGAATCTCACGATTTCTTTACAATTAACTGCCCAAACAAAGTCTTTTACAACTGTTTCAGATATTCACCTTCGACCCTTTACAACCCAATTAACCTTTTGTTTTACGCTATTTCTGTATGATCAACGTATCATTTGGTTATTTGGATTTTTGTCCTATCAAACAGCAGCATGGTGAATTTCGACGTGTACAGAGCAAATGAATTGTGAAGTGAAAAATTAGGAAGTATTGGATAATTGTTTCGGCGTGATTGTGTTTCACCAGCAGTTTGGATCCATCGATCCAACTGGGGACCAAACCCGGGGCTTCACAGGTGGAACACAAGCAACCTACCCACTGGATCGCCGGTCATCGTTTTTATTTTGCCCCTGCACGTTAACACACCATCCATCTTTACGAGCTTAACGCATTCATCACACCTCGCGCGTCTCAGCTCTTGCCCTCAGGGTCCTGATTTGGTCGGAAACATTCCAACCTGATTATATGTCACCTGAAGTATGCTTACTTTCTACCTGTGAAGTCCCGGGGTTCGATTCCCAGTTGGGTCAATGGGTTCGCATGACTGACAAAATTCAACCATTTCGAAACATCTGTTCAGTGCACGCTTCATTAGCTCCACGCATCGAAGTTCACTATATGTTCAAAGCAAATCCTCTAATACTGTCAGGAAACATCAATCAATGGAACAAAATTATTCCACATTGAGGGATCACCAAAGTTCATCTTCGCTTCCCCTATGACCTGATTCTCGGCAAGTTACTGTCGCTTCAATTTGATCTATGGGCTCATTACGATACACAAACACAACAAGTTCAGTTAGTTTCGGTGCCTAAGTGTCCATATATCAGTCCGTGTGTGCCTGTGATAGCATCGGATTTCCCAGGAGGACAGTAAGCTAACAGTGAACAGTGAGCTTTGAAAATGTTCTGTGTCCTACTGCTACTACTACTACTACTACTACTACTACTACTACTACTACTACTACTACTACTACTACT